AAAATAGTATCACAATCGATAGGACAATTGCGAAATATTTGTTGAAGGAATTCTTTAGTGCCTATAGATTTCATCATCAGAAATGCAAATAAAATAATCTTAACGGATTTATCAAATAATTGAGGAGGGTTGTCTAAGTCTGAGATTAAAAAAAAATTAAAATCTCGTTTTGTTATTGTGACTTAGCGTCATGACTTTTGAGCTTATATTTTTTTGTTTTTTAAGTAATTTCAGTAATAAATTCAACTTCAAGTATGTAGTTTGCATGTTTCACATTGCTTTACACTTAAACTATATTTAATTATCTTTCAGAGAGATCGTGAAACATTGTTGAAATTAATGTTGTTGTGAAAGTTGGTTATATTGTTGAGATTATTTACTATGCTTTCATAGTAACTGATCACAATAATATAAATAATAATTAATCAATCCGATATAAAGGGTTGGACCAGTGTTCCTTTTTCAGAACTTATTCACTTTTTCTTAAACTTCATGTTTATTACAATACAAAGTTATCTCAGAATATTGCTTCGATAGCGTGCGCCTCACTAAATAAACTCAATCCGGGCGACAAATGTCCGCAAATTGTGTGCGTTGAGTCCGTGACAAGTCCTCTACGCACAATATGACAACCTCCATGGCCGGGTGGTTTGTACGCCGGGTTTCGTAGTGTCACCGACTCGAGAGGTTAGTGTTGGCAAATGTTTGTGTGATAAATATGAGCATTTGTACTCCATTCATGGATGTTTGATATGTATTTCTATATAAATATGTTTGAATAGTATGTGCAGTATATGTATTCTATCAGTTACCCTAGTATCCCATAACACAAGCCTTACAGTGCTTACTTTGGGGCTAGGGTATTTGGTGTGAGTATAATGTTTTCATAATACTCGGACTAAAGTCCTCCGGAAATTGATATCGTTGTCCTCCGCAGACAAAAGTCCGTCGTCTGCGCAGGCCATAAAGCTGAGCCAGTGAACTTTGTACCGCCATATTGTTTTCTTTTTATAATTATTTTTTATTTTACTTCACACAAAATTTTTCCTTACAAAAAATTACAATAATAAATATGGTGCATTAAATTTATTATGACAGTTAAAGGTAAAGTAAGTTGGTGCAACTGACGCTAAGTGTCCTGTACAATTTAATACGACTTTTTTCAATTTTCTAATGGTTAGGTTGACCTAATGTTGAGTAGTAACCACTGAAAAAAGTAGTTTTTTCTTCTATGAGTTACATTCCACCTCGTACCTTTACAGTTCGTGAAGTTGTACGGTCTGTTGATAGACTGCTAGCATTGGGTTTTCTCTCGCCCTTTTGTTTTCGGAATCCCAAAACATGAAAATAATACTTCAACGATTGAAAATCACTGACCATTATGCTACCGCAGCCCTGTTGGCCGTGTCGAATTATTTCTAGTATTTTTTTGGCTGCAAGGTAACGCCATCTCTTCGCATTGTAGGTAATCCACAATGACAAATGAATACCTTTACAAGTATTAAACATTTCAAAGTAGAAATAAAAAACATAATTGTAAAGTTTTTCTATAACATATATCACATATGCGTTACTTTTTTGCTGTGTTGTAACCTAATAGTTTCCGATGGTATTATTTTTCTTGTAACCTGTTCAAAATTTTGAATCACCTGTCTCGTGTTTATGTAGCAAAATAAATGTACCTATATTCTTTCTTTCTATTTTACAGTAAGCCTTTGAGTCACCAACGTTACTGTTACCACTTCAAAGCCAAAAAGGTATTCTTCAAAACCTTTCCCACATTAGCATCGTAAGATATTGTGTAGATTACGGTTGTTATCTGCGTAACACGGGAGCCGCCCGCAGGCGACGGCAGCGCGCTGGGCTCTTAAAAAGCTACCATACAAAAAAACTATCAAGAAAAAACTACCACCACGGACACGAGATGCGCGATTTGATTAGCTTGTTCTTCGACGGGTCACCCCAACACAAGTACGTGTATTCTGTGTCATATTTCTAATTATGTCACCCCAGCACAAGTATTTGTATTCTGTGACATATTTCTAATTATGTCACCCCAGCAGAAGTATTTGTATTCTGTGACATATTTCTAATTATGTCACCCCAGCAGAAGTATTTATATTCTGTGGCATATTTCTAATTATATCATCCCAGCACAAGTATTTGTATTCTATGGCATATTTATAATTATGCCACCCCAACATAAGTACCTATTTGTATCCTGTAGCAAATTTCTAAGTATGTCACCACAGCACAAGTATTTGCATTCTGTGGCATATTTCTAATTATGAACAAATAATAGGTTTTGATAGTGTACGGATGTAGAAAGCCGGGACAGGTCAAGATTCACCTATCACAATCAAATTGATTGCATTCTGAAGGGAGGTGATAAAGATGTCAGAAACTGCGAAAATTGGCAGGCGTGTATTAATAAGTAATGAAAGTGAATGAAGAGAAACATGTGTGTGCGGATCACGCATGAAGGTCATAAGTAATAGGCATTTCAACTCTGAAAGGCCGTCGATCGTCACCGTATCAACTTTAGGCGTTCAGTAGTCTTTGTATGAAACTCTAAAGAAACTATGTATGCGTGCGATGCGAGTTGATACGGTGACGGTCAATTTCCGAGTTGATGGGTCTGGTACAATCTTTATGGTGATATGTTCTCGCTGGTTTAATGGTATGCTGTTGGTCGCACATGACCTTTACAGCGTCACCAGTTTTGAGGACGGCGAGAACATAGGGGACCTCAAGCCGAGAATCGACGAGTGCCTCAAGAGATATTCCAGGCGGATGGCATCTCCCCACGGGGGAGATCTCTCTCCCTCTTCGTCTGGAGCATCTAAGCCACTCGAACTTGAGGGGATCGGCTCAACTAGAGGGCGACTCTGAGACTGTCCTCGGCTCCAGTTAGCCTTTGTCGTGGGGCCTAACCCATCCAGGACATGGCGTGAATATATATAAAAAAATACGTCCTACGTGGTGGAGTGTTATGTACACCGCTTTTCAAGATGTCGTCTTCACTGAAGTTCTGAGTTCGAGTCCCGATAAAGGTACTCGAGCGTTTGTACCTGAATCATGATAGTTTAATATAATTCTACAAAAATATACACTTACATAATTTTATATCCGTAACCCTACTATCTCTAAACACTTAGATTGAATAATTGAATTTGATGATAACTGTAACACTGTTTGTATTTATACTGTACTAGCTGACCCGGCGAACTTCGTACCGCCTTAGCGTAGCTTTGATGCACTACTTTATTTTGTATAGCTGACCTATCTTATGTATGAGTACCTATTCAATTTGAACTGGAATCTATAATATCCTCCATATAAAAATGAATCCTTATTTCCCTGGTCTCGCCATACCTGAGGACTTTACTAATTTTTATTAAATAAAAAACAACATATATATTTTCATAATAGTCCGAAGGCACGTTAAGCCGTTGGTCCCGGCTGCATCTGCAGTCGTTAGCACCCGCCAATCCGCATTGGGCCCGCGTGGCGGGTCATGGCCCAATCTCCCTATTCCATCCATAGGGAAGGCCTGTGCCCCAGCAGTGGGGACATTAATAGGCTGATGATGATGATGATGATGATGTTGACTTTCAATATATTGGACGAAACGTAGTAATATTTTATTTTACCGTATTATAATAATAAGTCTCTGTCTAGGACGTCCAGGTGGCAGCTTTATTGCGAAGAAATTGATTTTTTTTATAATAGATGTCGCTATTTGCGCTTAAATGTGATTCATGTAAGTTGATTTTTCTGAGAGATAAACTTTTTAATGTAATATGAATTGTCATGTTTGTGTACGATAGCGCAAAAAGCGCTATCGTACACAAACATGTACGCTAACGTGTTCAGAGTCGAATATTAAATGTAATGCTTGTCAAAGGAATGTGGTAAATTTTATTATTAATGAATCTTATAACAATACCTACTTAAATTATAAACGTTTGATACATATAAAGCAAAGCCCTTCATTTAATTGAGAAATTTTTACTTTTCATCATCTACGTAAAAAGTTATTCATAGATTTCTTTTTTATTCTCTTTCTTTATCTCACGGATTTTATGTATTTTGTGCTTCATCCAATATCAAAATTATATGATCTATATTCACGAAAATTTAAAAAAAACTCAGTGATAAACACGTACAGTATCAGCTTTTTAACATAGAGCTGCGACCGGAAAAATGTCAAAAGAATGTTTTTTATGGGTATTCTCATATTTACAGGTTAAAAAATAAACACATAAAAAATCAATCATCTTCTTTTAAAATAACTATAACATTAAAAGAATGTACGCATTCATGTCTACATCATCAACAAAAACAACTTAATTAGCGCTTCCCATTGTCAAGGCTGTGACTATCTATGTTAAACAGAACCCTGATATTATCAGCTGTAATCGCCAACTTGTTAACCATGAAATTATATGTTTGCTACGAGAAAACGATCAAGCACCTCTCATTAAATTCTAATTAACTTTATCATCTACATCTGCGCAGGCACATAGCTCGCACGGCAAATCGCGAAGCTCCACTCATAAAAACAGTATCAATAACTGTCACTGCGCCCAATCATTATACTTTTGTCCCGCTCCCCCGTACTATAATTACTCAAACATTATGTACGTCTCCCTCGAACTCATTAATTTCAAGGCGAGCCCGTAACGAACCGATCGTTCCATTTCTTTCGCGCGAAACAACCTGCGAGGCTAAGTAATAAGGTGACGTACAAATCACTAGCTGTCTCTGTCGCACGCGGGCTCATTACGCCGAATGAAGCTGTATTTCAGTCGTTCTTTTTTTTGATGATAGAACCTTTTTCGAAATGACAAGTCGAAATTGTTAGAGCATTTTTAAAAAGTGGCGTAGGTGCGTTCGTCGTCCAGGACTCGTTAAGGCGCCGGGCGCATGTTTTTCGATAAAAAAGAAAACAAGTCTCGCGAGAAAGAGAGCCTTAGCGGAGGCTTTTTATAGTCGCTGCCCCGATGCGCCCGCGCGCGGAAGTATCGGAGCTTCAGGATCGCCTTAATCTCATTCTAATAAAAAGCTTACGCATAAATTGACGCGATGTCACTTAGATTCGAATTTTAAAATAGTTTTTTTTAATGACGTGTTCCGTTGGCGCGTTGTGAGGTTGTATAGGTGTTGAATTATGTTCGGCACGTGCTGTTTATTGTTATTTTTATGGTTGAGATATTATTATGACGTTGTTTTAGTGTGGTGCCGCGAAAAGGGTGGTTTTTCTTATTGACATATCATTAGAACTTTATCATTCGAACTGTGTGGTCGTGTTTAATTCGATGCTACGATGGATTAATGTTAACGTGTGATTAAGTGATTTAGTTAATGAGTTTTTGTTTTATTTTGTTTGAGGAATTAGTGCACATCCACGATGTTTCTAAGGTAAGTTTAATACTACCTGGAGCAATTAGTAGTATTTTTTTTAGTTATTAATTAAGAATAATTTTTATTTTGAATTGCTTCTTTAATAGTGCAAATAATTAATTATTTTACAATTTACAATTATTTTTCATATAAACTCAACTTAAACAAGCGAACTTATATAAATACAAGATAATGTTTTTAACAATATTGTTTTATTGTTTAAATTTTTATGTATTTTTTTATTACTTTCATTTTAATCTTTTTAATTGGTCGCTCAACGTGTATTTCTTCTTAAAATTTTATATTTTACAATTTTACTCAAGCTGTGGCTTATACTGATACCGAGTATTTTGAACACATAATAATTTACAAATTTTAAAATATCTTCTTTTAATGATTAGAAATAGTTTAGTGTTTTTTTTCGCAACCTTAATGTTACTAACACTAAGTTTTACTTTCTGGGCATTAAAGCTTCTCCAATCGATACCTAAGCTTTTTTTATCTTAAATCTTTCGGGTTCTACATCGCTCAGTTCTATATTTACCTAAATTATAATTTTGACTGCAAAATTACTTATCATAAACAATATTGCGCCTGCGCAACAATCGGTAAAAAACATATTTTCAGTAAAGCTTGCCAAATTGATTGTCACATCACGTATTTTGAACAAAGCTTTAAATAGGTACAGAACCTTTCCTGTGTTTTCCTTCTCTTATAATGTGTCAAAATTTCCTACAATAAATTGCAACGTAGATTATAAATATTCCTGTAACTTTGCAATATAAACAAAAACACTTTTGACATGCATGGGAAAATTAATTTCATTGTCGTAACTAATATTCATGGATAAATACAAAATTGCTTATAATACCCAACTTTTACTTGCAATTATAGACCTTATTTTCTGGACAGGGAGGATTCAAATTTATTTATATAATATCTACATGAGATTCGTGACTGTCCATTTAGATGGATAGTACGTTGTCAACGGTCAGACACTGTATGTAACCTTGTACTGAAATATCTTGTGTGTTAAGTACTAAATGTTACGTAGAGCCTTATTTGGTTTTACAATTTGCTGGAACTGAATTTTTCGTAGCACCGACAAAACTTGTACAGTAGGCAACATCCATAGTTCATAGTAAGTTTACTCAAGTTATGTGGTTTTTGCAATTAAAATAATTTTTGGGTCTTGTTAGATTTCAGTTGTCATGTACTGTTTTTTAGCTTTTTGTATTAAAACAAGGGGCTGTATATTACCTCGCAGTACCTTATATTAAGTGTATATGGAGGGGAGTTAGCTGACGCGGTAGATACAATTGCAATTAAATCCTCTAAACTAAACTAATCTCACCTACCCTTTATGGCCTGCGCAGATGTAGAGGAGCTCGATGGTTAGCGCGTTCGGCTGCGATCGTTAAAGTTAGAAAACTTTTGCAGTGGTCGCAAAAATTATTGGACGATTCAAAAGAGCTGAATTATAAGAATAAAGTATAATTTCATTTCATTTCATTTTTACCGTAACATTTTGAGATAATTACCGAAATTATGTGTATTGTTTTTATTAAAAGACCAATAAGAAAGTTGTAATAACAACAAATACAGTATCATATATTGCACTAAACGCTCAGGTGTCAGTTATTCAAGAGGTTTTTTTAACAATACTTACGCTAAGAAGTTACTAGACATGTATTATGCAATATATTATTTTACAAATGAAGCTCGGATATAATTCTAGACTTAAAGGTAAATTTAAAAATCAAAAACCTGACTGTTTAAAAGATACTTTAAATAAAAACTGAATAGATAAAAATAAGTCCAAGACTATAATTCTGTTATGGAAGGAACAAAGCTACTTTAACAGTCGGGACCCATTACCGGAAAATTTTGATCTTTTCTAGAATATCTAATAAGTCACGACTGCAAAAGTATTTTTGTTCCTTACTTAACAGAATTATAGACTTGTTTTTTTTTAGTTTTTATTTAAAGTATTTTAAAGCAGTAGGAACGTAGGTAACATTTTTATAATTTTTTAAAATTTACCTTTTTATTTTCAATTATTAGTTAGGAATAAAAGACACAAACTTCCAACTTGGGATAAAAACCATCCTATGTACTTTTCCGGGACTCAAACTATATCTATACACTTACCAAATTTCAGCTACATCGGTTCAGCTGTTTAAGTGTGAAGAGGTAACAGACAACCATACACACTTTCTATTTATAATGTTACAAGCGGCTGTCCGCGTTAACTTTAGTTTTTTGTAGTCTCGCAGGAACCTGTCATTTTTCCGAAAAAAAAGGTATCCTTTGTCTTAACTACGAGTATATGTGCACCAAGTTTCATTCAAATCCGTTCAGAAGGTTTTGCTGATTGACTAAAAAACATACAAACTTTTACATTTATAATATTATTAGGATTATAGATTTTCTATCCACACTCTTTCACCACACTTTGATGACGTTTACAAAAACGTACTGTCCTCTGTACGCAAAATGTTCTTAAAAGGGATCACAAAGTTTTCCATTCACATGTTCGTCCGTCCGTCCGTTTTAACCAAATATTTCCGGTTTCACACAATCTCATACGCCAAACTCCATGCATTGCACATTAACACTAACTATATAATGATTGTCTGTAGTAAGGACCAATATTATAGGTAGGTACCTACTCACTACTGAATAACAATTACCGAAAAACGGCATGGATATCAAAACATTGGCAAAACGTGATAAATTTATAAACAAGTTTGTTAAAAAATGCCGCCACTGAGCACATAGTTGATATTGACTTAATAATTATAATATTTGTTTTTTTTTTTATGTTAAAAGGGTAGCAAAGAAGCGTATAACTCGCCTGATGGTAAGCGGCGACCATAGACTATATACGCTTGCCGATACCAAAAATATCACTTGCACCGTTCCATCTACCTGACCAACACCCCTACTCCTTAGAACTCTAGAACCTTCTTCTTCTTCGGCGCTACATTCTTGACAGAGTGGTCGTGGTCGTCACATCAGGGTTGGTGGCGCGCTTCACAATACGCCGCCATTCGTCCCGCACTGCGGTCTTTCTCGTGCACTCGTGAAGTGGACCGTTCAGTGCCGCTTTTATCTGGTCAGTCCAGCGCATTGGAACCTTAGTACCTTACTCATTTCTTATTAGAACCTTACTCACCGTCAAAAACACAACACCACCAAAAGGTAGTGTTATTTTACTGTGGTATTCTGTAAGGTGGAGGTTACTTCCCCGCTTGGGCGCTCCTATTCGAGCGGAGAATCCATTATGCCCTTTCCTCTCTTGCCTGTTGACTATTATGTGTTATGCTTTGTTTTATATTGATCTTATAGTATATTGAAATCAGTGTCAGGTCTCGCGATTTTACAAGAGATCTCCTGTTTTTTTCTACAATTACTCCTGTTCTACTGTTTTTCTTTCTACGATTTTCTTTTTTAAATTGCATGTTACCTTAATTATTATAAAATAAACGAGCTTTGAATGGCGGCAGAAGCCACAGAAACACATTCGTTACTAGCCTATATCTTAATTTGATTTACCAATTTTAGGGGGGGGGGGGGGTGCAAATTAGAAAAAGTACGCCCATGCATCTACTGTTCATTTTTTAAAATCTGATCTTCTATCCTTGGAACCCATCATTAAAACTAGACTTTTCTCTCCATGCCCGCGTCTACTAAACTTCCTATAATTTCTATTGCATCATAAGGAAAGATGAAAATATCATTGAATAATAAAATCACAATATTCCATACCATTTCATGGAACTATAGTTTATTCATTCATCATCATCATCATCAGTCTATTAATGTCCCCATTGGTGGGGCACAGGCCTTCCCTATGGTTGGAATAGGGAGATTGGGCCATGACCTACCACGCGTTCCCAGTGATGCACAGGTGGATGCTAACAACTGCAGTTGCAGCCGGGACCAACGGCTTAACGTGCCATCCAAAGCACGGAGGAGTTCTAGATAATAAGTTGTTGGTCACCCATCCAATGACCGGAAATTGCGAAAGTTGCTTAACTTCGGCGATCGCAAGCCAGACGCACTTACCACATGCGCTATCGAGATTCTATTCCATATTTCATTCATTCATAGTCCCATGATAAAATAACTATCATTATGGAGCCTAAAAAACAATCAAAACGACATTTTCCATAATACTACAAAAAAAAGATAGATATTTTTCTAAAACCTTGTTTAGGCAAATTTTGTGCGACTTTTTCCTTAAACTGGTGTTGAAGACATGTCCTACCTTTTTTGTGGAAGTAAGGTTCAAGTCTAATGATTCGTAACCGTTTTAAGAGAGCTTAATCAAATGAGTATTGTGCGCGCAAACATATAAGTTACATACAAAATGTAACTACAACAAAATAAATCTGACAGCATCCCAAATATCTCTAAAAATCAACGTATAAAAACCGACGCAGACCGTCCGCCCAGACCAGGTGTGCTAATGCGTTCACGTAAAACGCGCCGTGAAATGTCCACATCGTTTCACGGTGCCACTACGTCAGGAATGCTGTGCTTTTTGTTACGACTATTACCAATGTGGTCCCTCTGCCGAGCGAAAGAATGTGTCTTTTGAAAGAAAAAAAAAAATATTTGAGTAGGTACTTCTTCATACCATATAATTATCGTATATAATTATCTTTTTCAGGGAAAAGAATCTTAGATTTGCCATTAAAATATATTTGACAAATATTGTCCTGAAACTCATCATATGGTACGCTTGTGAAACTCGCTGCCAGCAGGAATTAGAGACAGCCCAACTGTTGCTACATTTAAAAAACGGCTGAAGGAACACTATCTATCCTCTTGAATCACTGTAACTGAACTGTATTGCATCTCCTTTCTAACATTTATATATTTTATTTAAGTATATATGTTTATTTGTACATCTATGTAGACATATATGTAGGTTTTGTTTATGTAAATGTTTTGTTTTGTTATTTATATTCAGGAGGCGCACACTGACGGCTTTTTTTTAATGTTCTTTCCTTACGCGGGCCTGCTGGAAGAAATTTCAATATGAAATAAGCTGTGCCCTTGTACAAATATCTCGATCCTGTTCTACTTATCTGTTTTATTGTGTGTGAACTAAATTAGTAAATAAATAAATAAAATATTTGTTGAATGTCAATCATTCAACAGTGCAACTACAATGGGAATACTGTGCTTTTTGTTAAACACCGCGGCAAACTTCTTGAGCAACGACCATAGATTCAAGTTCATTTGTCTGTGGTTTTACTGTAGAAGTTTGCCGCGACCCATACGTTACGCCAATCACCTATGTGGTCTCTCTGTCGAGTGAAAGAAGAAAATTTGTCTAATAAATGAAAAATAACCTATTTCAGTACCTCACGGCGTATATCCTTTGTGAAGAAGAGAACTCAGATAGGTGGCCCATTAAAATACATTTGGAAAAATATTGACCTGAAACTCAATGTTTTTATATGAAGCATCAGTAATACTTTAATATTACATTTTTAACAGAACTTAAAAAACATTTAAATATACTAATCGTTAAAAAGATTATATACAAATACTTTAAATGCGTCTTTAACCCGTTTTATGGGGATTAAATTGTATCGGTGATTAAATTTCTTCTCTCAATTTTCCTGAATAGCTAAAACGGAAAAGTTGTCTGTCGCATTCATGACAACTAGACTCCACTTCTACGATGTTTGCGATGTGATAATTATCTGCTTCTTGCATAAAAATAACAACTATTTCATTCCCTTAACACTCATCGGTCACTTCGGGGTATGAATTTTGGTAGATTTATAAAGTAGATCGCTTTATAAAAACATATATTCTTTACGTGTGAAGTATGCTATCATGGCATTACTTTAAATATAACGACTCACAAATTTTTAGGTCTCCTCATTAACAACCATATAATCTCCACATTCCTAAAAGAAAACGAAACGTTTGTTTTCGAGAACATTTTGTATATTACTTCAATCTGTCATAAACATAAAAATACATAACAATTTTTCTCAGGTTTGCGATCATCTTGATTGGAAATAAAAAAGTAAAAAAATACATTTTCCGTACCTAGACAATATTACTGACATTTTAAAATATAAAGTTGTTCCTTAAAATCTTACTTGCTTGATTATTTTAATAAACTCTGCCGCTCTTATATCTCGATTTAAAACACAAAAAATTTGATCTTAAAAAAGATAGTGCCAATTTTTATTAAAAAAAAATATGTTTTTTCGCAATTACCATGCTCCAATAGTCATTCTGTGAATATAAGAAAAATTATTTTAAAAGTGTGACCTTCTTTAACTGTATATATAATTAAATAAATGCATATAAAATTTTTGAGTTGTTTTTTCATTGAAAGCAAAGTATTAAAATTCAATAGTCTTGTTAATTTATGACTTTTTCTATCGACCTTATGTATGAAACTTATAAAAACAGTAAATCTATTTTTTTTTCTTACTTTTATAATGTCATTTTTGTTAACTGTGATAGTTAGCATTCTGTGCTTGCATCAAAATGTAATTATTAAATTAAAAAATATGCCAAAATCATATTGTAAATAAATGTTTGTCCTGGAATATAAGTCACATTCCCGCATTCCATTAGTTTTTCTCTTATTTACTCATAGTTGATGTGTTTATCCATGTTTTTGTCTACCTAAGAAATCGGTGGGTAGAATTCAGCAAAAGCCATCTGTCTAATGTAATTATATAATAAATTTCGAACAACATCTGCAAATCTGCTGTAATATTTCATACAAATTTGGATCAAATTTGCTCAATCTACGTCGACTAACCCTTTTGTTTTGTACTCACATATATCACAAGATTAAAAAAAAACGAAAACCAAACTCGCTCTGTAAATCTTCCAAAACGCAACAATCACTCAAAACTCAATCGAATTAATAACAACGCGAGCGAGGGGTACAATCATCGGCAGTTTTTTCCCACAATCATACTTAACGACCGAAAAAAACACATAATCACACAAACAAATAAAAATGAAAGGCCCGTGAAAAGGACTCCCAGGGGAGATGAAAGCGGCGCCCGCGCATCACGCCACTTCCTTCGATTCTTTTGTATAGTTTCTTTAATGAATTGGTGCTTATTGTTATGAGTGTGTTATCTGTAATGAATACGGAATCCGGTGATGCCCTTTGACGTTTTATTACTTCTGTTAAACGGGCATAAGTTGAATTTTTGTATCTTATATAAAATAGATTTTAAAACACTTTTTTTAAGATTGGAAACAACTGAAACTGGTTTTCTTTGTAATTATAATTGATATTAATAATTTTAAATATTTGTTTAGAAATTTGCACTGAAAAGGTGGAAATAAGCTAAGTCGCTAAGTCTAAGTCACTCGAAATTAAGTGTTTTTCTGTTCACGCCCAAAGTTATGTCTATATTTTACTTCCAGTGTTTCATTGTTTTTTTTTATTAAAAAAATAGCGCGTAACAAAATCGTTTTGATTAATTTACATTCAGACATAGTAAGGTTAGCCGTTATAAAATATTCTAATATTTAAAAGGCGGTATTCAATATCCTTCCTCATCCCATTTGATAGCGTTTGTCATAGCCGCATGCGCCTGAGCACACAATGCGCGGATACGGTGTGTTCCGGACAGGTGTCGACTTGTGTATGCCGCATCTTATTTGAATGATCTATATGATCAGCCCAACAGGTGAAAAAAATATGTAAAAAAGTTAATTATTTAAAACATACATTGGAATTGATTATTTTTTTTATTTGGAATGATTAAACATTTAACTGCTAGATGTTTAAATCTAAAGAAAATTTTACTAGAAAAAATTCCACGCAGGCCAGGCAGCAGACGGGACTCGAACCCGCACCCTTCGCTATCCGGACTAATGCACTGAATGAATTTTCTATAGTATTTCTTAGGTTGCAAGGCAGCGCCATCTTTTGGCTATGTAGGTAACCCACAAAAAACTCAAATGAACAAGTATTAAACATTAAAAAAAATAGGAATTATAGTTATAGTTTTGAACTGGTTAACAACGCGTTTTTTAACCTTTTTTACTCTTTTTGAGTACGAATGAACAAATCCACACACATTCCGTGTCTGTTGCAGGGTGGGGACGGGAACCATAGAAAATCGCCCATGGTCCTGTAGTATTTTGCAAGTTCGTACATTTCGGCGATTCATTTTCATTTATAAAGGTTGATTAAAACAAAAGAAACTTTACATGAAAAAAAAAACTTATTGGTCAGTCTGCAAGCGTGGAAGAGAAGCATCTTTCAAAAAAGCCGTTCAAAGGATTGGGGACCAAAAATTATCATTATTTCGAACTTTTTTGATTTTTAAGGGCACCTTAAAACATTTTTCCCGACTGTATCTGCAGTCGCTAGAACCCTGCTATGGGTCCGTGGTGGATCACGCATGGTCAATCTCCCTATTCCAGCCTCAGCAGTGAAGACTTTAATATAATTATAATAATAATTTGCTGGCACCATTAAATTTTCATCCTACTGCATAAAAATACATCTGCACCTAAATTAGGAGATCTGTATCTCAGGTGCACCACTCTCTATATAAATACAAGCTGTTTTAGATGTTCTCAACACATACACACAAACTTATTTTCCAAAAGGTTAGGCTGATGATGATGAATTTCATTAATTATTCCCTTTTGTTTAACAGATTCGAACCTACAAAATCTACAAAGGGTGCGAGCAAGATGCGACGTGACCTGATCAATGCTGAGATTTCTAACCTGAGAGACCTGCTGCCTCTACCACCCTCCACCAGACAGAGGCTCTCGCAACTCCAACTCATGGCCCTAGTCTGCGTCTACGTCAGGAAAATGAACTACTTCCAACAATGTAAGTCGCAAAGAATTTTAAAGCCCATTAAATTTTTTACGAGTAGTTTTATTTTTATGTTTGTCATTGTCAAAGTTTCAGGTTCAGTTAGCAGTTATAATATAATGGCGCATTACATTTGGTCGCTAGCCCGAATACGAGTGCCAATGGAATTCGGGTAAACGACCAAGTGTAAATGATCGGAGTCGAGTACGCCTGTATTTGGGTAGTTTTTGTTTTGGTTACCCGTTACCATCTTCCAGACCGTATACTAGTGTAAATATTGCTCCGAATAATGTCTTTTCTGTACTCGAATACGAGCTACAGACCAAGTGTAATTGAGCCATAAGTCATAACTATGTCATGCCTATGTGATAGTATAGAAAGTATTTTTTTCATTATCTTTTGTGAAAAAAACTATTATTATAAAAGTTTAAAAAAAAGGGAAAAACACTATTATTATAATAGTTTTTTCGGTCAGATTATCTTGGAAAACATAAATTTAATGTAGATGCGACATATATTTTATAGCGAAAATATCAGGGCATCATAGTCATTTCAATAGATGCAGATATAAATCTAAATTATTTAAAGTATATAGATAAAGTGATTTTTAATCCAGGGGACGAATTTATTCTTTCGATTCCGTAAATTCTTTCACAAATTTTTCCAATGGATTTTTACTGTAATTATTTTATTAATTTTCTAGAAAGCAGAAACTTGATTCAAACTTGTGATATAAAAACAGTAAATATTCCCAGCAGTAAAATTACTACTCACCTGTAGTATTAAAAAGACAAACTCTATATAGGAAAAGTAGCGGCAGCCCGCGACATCTTCGGTGTTGACTTTTGAACCCCATTTTACCCCTTTAGGGGGGGAGTTTTGGAAAATCCTTTCTTAACGCACGCCGACATGATAATAGATAGCTATATGTGTGCCAAATATCAGTGCAATCTGTTCTCGGTTTGATCTATGCGTTGATAACGGCTTTGCGGGTGCGCGGCCAGTTGGTAACGGGTGGCGCATTATCACCCGCACTCCGAGGACCGCGGTCCTAGCAATGCGAGTCGGGTGACAGGGTGCAGGAGTATTGTCTGGTTTTCTTCATGCTCCCCCAGTGGCTGAAGGATGCGTAAGGCATATACCAGACATTAAAAAAAAAAAGTATCGGCTGTCTTTTGTACATACAGATTTGCCTCTCCGTGTTGTGTTTCGGATGAAAGAGCTCATCTGAAACACAAACACGAAAGATACGCAAATCACGAAGCAAGTTCAAACGGGCCATCAACTTCAACCTCCAAACACATTTCCCATACACCACGATTGTAACCCCTCAACTTCCCATGGGCGCGCATCACGTGCCCTCTTATCTTCCAAATCTCTTCTCCCAAAAACTTTTTGTCAGTCCTTCAGTCACGAAAACGCGTAATAAGAGCGTTTAAAATGCATTTAGTTCACTATCTTATCCTATGTTCGCTATAACTCCAGCCGTATAAACAGTCTTTCTTTCTGTTTTAGTGTTCAAGAGTCACGATTTCACCTATCAGTATCAAGAACAACCGACACCCACACCTAATATTGGATTCTCGAAGGTATTTGTTACAACTTTACGACTTTTGTGATAATAAGTACTAGGTTATGGTAAATATTAGCACTGTTTTCACATTAACGACTTTTGAGGAGCAATTTCAACGTGACATTGCCTTTTGCTAGATTTTCTTTAGCATGTATTCGTATTTTTTATTTCTGTTTTTTTTATTTTTTTTTCTTTAAAACTGTGGATAAATTATGATTCAAAATGACACAAATTAATATCATTAGTTTTTTGCATTTAATTAAATTTATTACTTAAGTACCTATGTCTTTTGGCGATTACATTTTACGTTGAAAAGTTATTCTAATTAAAACTCGAAAAATCCCACTGAAATCGCGCTGAGTCTGAACGTTTTATATGAAAGGTATTTAAAAAAAATGATGACTCATTTCTTTGTCGTGCTATTCGCAAGTGGAATTCTTTGCCCGAGCGCGTGTTCCCCGCATCTTACGATCTAGGGTCCTTTAAGAGAGGCGTGAAGAAGCTGCAGGCAGGCAAGGTGAGGATGGTTGGTGTGGCAGTTTATAACTGCTGTACCAGCTATCTTCGCGTCTGGACTCTATCACCACTTAACGTCAGGTGGGGTAGAGTAATTTGTCTACCTAGCTATAAAACAAAACTAATTTTGAATATTTGATAATCATTATCGATATGTTATATTGAGCATTTTTTAATACCTAAACACGTGTAGAAGTTACTTTTAGGTGCACAATTGAAAAGAAATGATGTGTACACAGTTTCAAGTGATGGCACTAAAATTTACAATGTGTTTCAGGCTATGAACGGTTTTATGATGATGATGACGCAAAACGGAAAACTATTGTACATATCGGAAAACGCTGCAGAATACTTAGGACATTCTATGGTTTGTATCTAAGCATTGCAATAGACATTTTAACACTAATAATGACGACATAATATAATGACCTTGTTGTTAATAAGTATCAGTAAATTGGCATTAAACATTTAACACAATTAATAATGGGCTAGATTCTCAATTGCTATTATCCTAAGGAAAATTTTACAATAAAAAATATAAAAATTAAGTTAAATGTTATAAAAAATTAATAAACTACTATTGTCCTAATTAAGATTCTCATTTTTATTTAAACTCTCCTTTAACTAGGAGCAAATTGCAACGATGTTTTAATAAACATCGTTGCATAGTATTTATTAATATTATAAATACTTACCTTATTTTAACTTTCGAAAGAACTAAAAATATTCTGATTGTTTTAGGAGGACTTATTAATCCATGGAGATAGCGTATACGACATAATAGATAGACAAGACCACCAGACGGTTCAAATGGAGCTCAACAGGGGAGAAAACGGAGAGACTGAGAATGTACCAAAGAATAGGCATTTTTTCTGTAGAATGAACGTCTCTAGAAACGCCAGAAGACAAATGAGGTTCGGCGACCAAAAAGTAAGATAACCATATTTTTATTCACTAATACAAAAAAGTAAACATAAATATTCAAGAAGTACATAAAATAAAATATAATAAGAAACATTTAAAATAATCAAAATATTTAATAAAACTATTGCACAAATCGTGGTCTTAGAAACTGGCGTCTTACACAAGCTATGACGATAACAAAATGCGAAATATAAAATACTAATCAATTTCATTTTTGTAGGTAGTTCTTGTAAGGGGACATTACATATCATACCTGCCGCTGTGCAGTCGCAACGAGCCAGTGTTCCTGGCGGTGTGCACGCCGCTTGCGATGCCCGAGACGCGCGAGTGCGTCGTGCACGGCGCCACCAACGTGTTTACCACCGTGCACGCCGTCGACATGAAAATACTGCACATCGATGCCAAGTAAGTCAACATACATGCCTCTGTACAAGCCCATAGAGTCAGTTTTTCTGGCGGTGTGCACGCCGCTTGCGATGCCCGAGACGCGCGAGTGCGTCGTGCACGGCGCCACCAACGTGTTCACCACCGTGCACGCCGTCGACATGAAAATACTGCACATCGATGCCAAGTAAGTCAACATACATGCCTCTGTACAAGCCCATAGAGTCAGTTTTTCTGGCGGTGTGCACCCCGCTTGCGATGCCCGAGACGCGCGAGTGCGTCGTGCACGGCGCCACCAAAGTGTTTACCACCGTGCACGCCGTCGACATGAAAATACTGCACATCGATGCCAAGTAAGTCAACATACATGCCTCTGTACAAGCCCATAGAGTCAGTTTTTCTGGCGGTGTGCACGCCGCTTGCGATGCCCGAGACGCGCGAGTGCGTCGTGCACGGCGCCACCAACGTGTTCACCACCGTGCACGCCGTCGACATGAAAATACTGCACATCGATGCCAAGTTAGTCAATACACATGCCTTTGTATAAGCCCATAGAGCCAGTTTTCCTGGCGGTGTGCACGCCGCTTGCGATGCACGAGACACGCGAGTGCGTCGTGCACGGCGCCATCAACGTGTTCACCACCGTCCACGCCGTGATTATGAAGATACTGCACATCGACGCCATATAAGTAAGTCAACACACATGCCTCTGTACAAGTCCATGTAGCTGGTATTCCTGGCAGTGTACACGCCGCTTGCGATGCCCGAGACGAACGAGTGCGTAGTTCACTGCGCCACCATCGTGTTCACTACCATACACGCCGTCGACATAAAGATACTGCACGACATCGACGTCAAATGCCTTACATGCACCATACAACAAAGTATAATGGTTAAAAATAAACCAGTAATTCTGCGTAAATGAAATTAGGCGTTTTATTTAAGAAAATGTAGTGTATGCTTCAAGAGGCAAAGTCAATTGTACAGCCTAGCATAATGTCAATTATAAGCGCATACAGTTTGCGATTACTAAATTGCCATAATGCGTCTGGATAACTACTGTGCATTTATTCGTTGTAAGTACATACTATTAGGATTTCACTAAATCATATTAATCGTTTCCATAAAGTTTGAGTTTATCCCATCACAAACGTTCTATTACTTAATTTAAAAATTCACGCTCATAATTTGCGGAACCATTACAGAAGTCCTACAGGTACTTAACATATTCTAATTTAAACAAATTGAGTGATCGTGAATAATTTGTCCTTGTCCTCGGGTCGTCTATATGCCGGCCGTATGAACGGTACAGTTAGCTTTCGGTAAATAGTCAGCTTGATTAACAAATAAGCATTCAAATCAATTGTATTAAATGAATAGCAAATTGCGGGAGCGTGGTTGTAATAGCAACACAATACTTCTTAAATAGATATATTCATAGATTTATGTTTGATTATAAAATTCGTATTAATAACATTGCTCTAATTTTCAGGTTTCTTTACGCTATGTTGAATTTACTTTTAGATTTTGACGATATTTATATTACTATTAACATTTTTATTTTACTTGTTTTATTTTTATAATAGACCAATACGAAATTCGACTAAAAGTAGTGATGTTGTCACAGACAGTAGAAAAACAAAAAGAACCAAGATTTATTATGATTTGATAAATTATTTGCAATTAATTTCACGTATTTTTTCTTTATGCTTGAAGTTTTGCATTCGCTTTTCAAGTTCGTAGTATTCAAATACAAATTCAATATCGTTTAAGTCTAGGCTGTTACAAGTACTTGTAAATGTCGTAAAGCTACGCCATCGGTTCGTAAATCTACGGCGGGAGACCTTGTACTGAGAAGAACCAGCAAGAAACTCAGCAAGGGCTGTTTTTTTCTCCCCATATTATATACAGAGTCATCAAATTGAAAAATGACTTCAATATTAGTATAACTCATGAAGTCACTTTCGATTTCAAATGTGAATAATATAACAATTAAGACTATAAAATAAAAAAATATAAAAAACTGATTTAAAAAAAAGTTTAGGGCTGCCATGTTCTGCTGTTTAGGCATAAAAAATACAGTACAATACAATACACAATTCTTTATTGAAAACACCACAGTAAAGTACATAAATGAGGTAAATATATTATGTTTAAACATAGTGATTCAATAGGCGGTCTTATCGCTAAAAGCGATTTCTTCCAGACAACCTTTATACAATATACGATATAACAAATGTACGATTAAAGTAAAATACAACGATTAATAGTACCCAATGTAGCAAGAGCAGACTAATCTCCGCTGGCAGCACCTGTTCACTAGCATAACGCATGAACCAGCCATCGCTTCGCTCAGCCATTTTTTAGGGAACGTAACGTATCTTATTAGTGTCCATGGAAATCTATGAAACAAGTTAACTCAATGATGGTACTTATAAATTTCCTTTTGTTACAGTGGCGAGTGGTTTTTAGGTTGGAAGAAATCAGAGTTAACAGATGTTTCATGGTATCAATTGATACACTGGGACAGCCTCAGAGAAGCTCAGAGCAAACATAGATTAAGTAAGTACGGACAACTTTTAATAACTGTTACTTAAATACTTTAAGTTCTTTCCATTTAAAAGTTTCGGAAATCTTTGTTGATATCCGCTTAAGCTTCCTTCCGTAATCGTAAATTAATCACGTTAATTATCGTCGATGGACGGATCGTTTACACTGAATATCTGACAGACGATTAAGCAACAATAAAATACAATTTATAGCTGAGTTTATAGCTGGCTATAAAATTTTGTTGGTCCCTCTTTGATTTGTGTGAGACCAAACTTTTTGCTAACGATTATCTGAAGTTTTCAAAGCCGCATTTGGTTTTTATTAACCGTTTTTTGTTAATCTTTGAAAAGTTACTTGATTTTATTAATAACTTACTAAGATTCATCATCGGCCTATTAATGTCCCCACTGCTGGGGCACGAGCCTTCCCCATGGATGGAATAGGGAGATTGGGCCACGCGGGCGCAATACGGATTGGTGGGTGCTAACGACCGCAGATGCAGCAGGGACCAACTGCTTAACGTGCCTTCCGAAGCACGGAAGAGCTCGATATAGTAAATTTTTAGTCACCCATCCAATGACCGACCACTGCGAAAATTTCTTAACTTCAACAATCACGAACCACTCGTGTCATCGAGTTCCTTACTTACTAAGATAAATATCCTTAAATAAAGAATATTTTTTTACTTGATATATTAACTTATATCACAATAATCAATAATTCATTATTGACTGTTTCAATTAATTACAGGAAACTTACATTATGGACTAGGAGCGAATGAATAAAAAACATATCCTATATTAATGTCAACTGCCAATATTTCTATCAAGGCATGTCAAGATACTGTTAATTGTCATGCATTGACTTCAATAATACACAATCACAACAGAACTTTAAATTTTCCTTGCACAGTAACTCAATCAGAGCAGGATAAGTGCTGCATTCTACTGGTGAAGATGCAGCAGCGGTCGGGCCAGTTCCTGTGGGTGCACGTGGTGTTGCAAGTTAAAGATGCTGCTGACTCACCCAGGCAGTTCATCGTTGCCACCAACCAGATATTGAGGTAATTATCTTAGCGTCATACCACAAAGTGTGTCATCGCCGCGCCCAAGCAATAAATCTAGAGTATGAACTGTGCCTTCCCTAATCAACTGTCCAGTAAAATTAGGCAGAAAAATGTGAGAGACACGAAGCGATTAGGTAGTCCATAGTTGGTCAGTAGTATTGTATTGGGCATTCTATATCACCATCCGATCTGTCGAGCTCTCTGCGGTGATATAGAATATTGGGCATTCTGCACTCCTACTTTCGTCTATATATTGACTGATTCTTGTTTCTTTCTAGAAAATATTAGTAAATTCTGAGTAACGCTCAATCCATTATTTAAGTCTAAGGTATTTACAGAGCTACATACTGCCTGAGGTTTTTATTTAAATCTTTCGTGTTGGATTTAAAATTGGTTATGAACCAAAATATATTAGAATACAGCATTTGGTAGATTCTTTCAAAGTCTTTATCAATTAGCTTATCTATACCCGTTTCCGATTAGTTCCGCATTAAACATAGGCGTACAATCACATAGGTAGCATCAACTAGAAAACCTAATACAATATATCTTTCGAAGGAGAATTTATCTCGCCAATCATGTTTTAATTGATTTATAACAATGAAATCATTTCATTTTTATTTTATTCAACAGCGAAGAAGAAGCATCAATAATGATGACTAACTCCTGGTTGTACCAGTATTACGGCTACCAGAATCAGCCTTGTAGCATGGTAGACCCCCGCTGCCAGAAGTTCTTCCGGAGAGAACAGTGTTACCAGGAGCCTTACCAAGAGCCGTACCAGTATATGGAAAACCAGGAAGTCGACTACGGCAGTTACCATGTGTCCGCTTATGTACCGCAGAAGTCTATAGAGGAGTATAGTGGCTGTGAAAGAGTTTACACAGAGAGAGGACCCGTGGATTACTCGACGCACTCCCCGCAGTCAACGATAAGCGAAGACAGGTGAGCTAACTTAATCTTTTGAGTATTTTATAAAAGGCTCTATCAATTACAAAGTCAAACCATGGATCAGGAACGGTTAAGTCGACTTGAAACTAAGTATGAGGCGAATGTTGTTGCGAATCTTTGACTTGTGCAGGAGGATTCGTTCTGCATTAAAAGACGGAATGTGCAAATTTATAAGAAAAAAAAACAATATGGGTATCTAATTTTTTTTTTGAAAAGGGAACTGCATCCGCATGTTTTGTAATTCAAAATCTGTCCAATATCACGCTTTACATAACCGTTTTCAAAAATACAATATTTTCGAACTTCAATGCTATTTTTTTTTACTACTGATCACCTTTCGTAATAATGACTTTAAAATATTCAAAGATAAACATGTGACAATGAGTTGAGTACGACGTAATTTTTTGACATAGAAAAATTAATTTGTATAAATTCAAAACATACAAAAATTTCAATTCATTAAAAATTTACGCAACAAACAAATTGTTTGGGTCGCATATAACAATTTGTAATCGTCACGTCACACAGCTATGGAATATAAATAAGAAAATCATCGAGCCGTCCGCTCGTCTGTAATTTGACACCTTTCATTACCATATTTATTGTGGACAAGCTCACAAACATACTAATGCACCGCCCGACAATCATAACTCTTTTATTAATTTATGGCTAAGGTTCAAACTCTTTGAAACCAATTTTTTTAAATAGCATTCGAACTTTTGTTCTTTTAAATCAAATACGAAAAAGGTTCTCTCGAAAGAAGTCTTAAGTAGATTGTGTATGAAGCCAGCTTGTACAACACTTATTATAGTGACGTGACCTTTTAGGTATTAATACAAAGGATAATAAACCATTTGATCTGATCATGTGACCTTTTGTTATGGCCGCATCGAACTCCACCTTTACCAATGCAACCATACAACCCTATATTATTTTATAATGTCGCTAGGACTTATAACATTTGTACATACTTTGTATTGTGATAAAATCGAATTGTTATCAAGTCATAGTAAATTTCAATGCTGATGTTTTCAAAAATGTTTCTATAAATGTGATGATTCGCTTTTTTAAAATGTTGTATTGATGGTGTTGTAATTGACAACCAAAAAACCAACCCAATTGTAAACCTTCTCCTAAACATAGACTTGTCACAACTTCGAGTAACTTTGTTTTCATATGCCAACCTTATCCTTATCTTAAGTCATTAAATTTAATGTTCCATTATGTCATGTGTCGTCTTAAAATGCTGTTATTGCAAAAAAAACACAGCTAACATTTTTCATCAACAACATTTAACATTCAACACCAATAATAGAGAACATATTTTGTGTAACAATGGGTTCATGTCACTGGACTGACTGCCCTTCAAGATGAATAAATTTCTACTCTTAACCAGATGCTGAATGTCGGCACGGAACAGATTGCAGAATTAAAAAAAAAATTTTTCATGAACAACATTTAACGTTGGAGTTTTTGGCAGGATTTCATCGAGTGTGGTTGGCGTCTTATTTTAATTATTCTTAAATTCGTTCATAGTGGATATTATGAAATAAAATTGGTGTGATAAAATCAATGTGGTAAAATCGTCAAAATATACGCTATTCCAGTCAAGTGGACGTGAGAATTTTATTGTAGTATTGACTACCTCACAGAAGCTTATCGAAAAAGCCAGCTCGATACATTTCGTGCCAAACACTTCAAGAAACATTCTAATGTAAAAAGAAAAACAGAATAATTTAACTTAAGACTAGGCTGTATGGGCATTGTTCCCCTTGCCTTCCCTGAAAAGGGAGAACTTAACCAAAAAAAATTAGCGTTCTCTTTCCTTTCTCATCATGTCAACCTGTTGCTCTTCTGGCTGCATCAAGTTCCGACCTCGAGAGACTAATAATTATCATGTTTACTGAACTGAAGGAGGAGCTCGATGGCGCGGGTGGTTAGCGCGTTCGGCTGCGATCGTTGAAGTTAAGCAACTTTCGCAGTGGTCGGTCATTGCATGGGTGACCAAAAATCTTCTATCACGAGTTCCTCCGCGCTTCGGAAGGCACGTTAAACCGTTGGTCCCGGCTGCATCTGCAGTCGTTAGCACCCGCCAATCAGGACTGGGCCCGCTTGGTGGTTCATAGCCCAATCTCCCTATTCCATCCATAGGGTAGGCCTGTGCCCCAGCAGTGGGGACATTAATAGGCTGATGATGATGATGACTGAGCTGAATGATGAAAATGTAATTATTGTAATCAGTACCTTTGTCTCTGTATGATAACTTGTTATTTGAAACCTACTTTCTCTTTTTTACTCAGGTCCCCCCACCACTACGACCCCCCACCCGAGATAGTGGTCAACAGCAACATGTACATGTACCCACATCACGGCAAGAGGGAGTACTACGAACAGTACCCTAGAGTGGGGTACCATAACATACAGGAACCGTGCTCTACGGCTGTTCTCGATGGTAAGGATTCACTTTTTTTTATCAATTAAAAAGAAATGGTGATAAGGTAGCGTATCTTTAATCCGGGGAGTATGATATTTTAATCATTAAGTTGAAATGAAATTTTGAGTGTTTTTTTTTAATTTGAATATCAGTGGTAACTTTGTGACGACGAGTCACCACTATTCAAAATCAAGTCACTTATAGTTTTTGCCATTTTTTTTTATTATTTATTATGGAACCTTAGCGAGTCATGGAAAATTTTCCCAGTATTATATTAAGAGCATACCGATTACACAGTAACTTGATGCTGTTATTCGCCGACTACAATGTAAACATATATATGTTTTCTATGTATGTATAAAAATCATACGTATCTGCTCCTTAATATAATACCCTAAAGATTCGAAGTTGAAAAATACTTTGATATGGTAGCAATCTCGCAAATTTAGTTTATTACTAAAATAAAATAAGTAAATGAATATTTCTAAAACACACACATACATGCACCAATTAGCCTAGCCCCAAAGTAAGCACTGTAAGGCTTGTATTATGAGATCCAAGGGTATCAGCTAGAATACATATACTGATACATTATAAGTTAAAATATTATTATTTATAAATACATATAAACATCCATGACTCAGGTACAAAAGCCCGTATTTATAACATAGACATTTGTCCCACTGGGATTCGAACCCGCGATCTCTGAGTAGTCGACATCATGAAAATCGACTTAGACTCGAGACATAGAAGTCATCAACAATTTTTTTTGTCTTCTTCTTTTGATGATATTTTTAATTCAAACTTTAATTACCTCAACAGGTATGGAATACCCAAGCCCTAAACGAATGCGCCTAGCCCAAGCTCCGTTAACCCTGGAAGAGACCGACGGCATGGACCGATGGAACCCCAGCCCCCCCTGGTCCGATACTACCTTGAAACTGCAGGAGTACAACACTAGGTTTACATATAATCACATGATTCCATTGCCGACCACAGACAGAGCTATGGTCACTTAACACGAAGATTAAATTACTATAGTAAAGTATAATTCTAGGTGTTGTTTAAATTAAACGACCTCCAAGAAACATGATCACCAAAAATGTATTTATCTCAATGTATACTGTTTATTTTAAAACAGCAATACTATTCCGTAAGAACACACTCACTTTTCACCTCGGAATCCGCTGTGTCGCATCGTCGTGCGACACTAGACGACGCAGCCTGAAAAGGATGCGAAACTATCCCCTCTTAATTCAATTAAATAATTGTTTGCTCTACCTATTAAATTACCTACACTTTATTTATTATTATAACCCTGTGTTGTCTCTGTGTGTGTGTGTGTCATGCTTTCAGAAGAACAATGTGAAAAGCTTAGTAAGAATTTTTATTCGGATAAAAATTAATACCGAGCAATCTCTCTCATATCGTGTCTCTCTCACTACGGAACATTGCCAAAATTTCTGTGTAAAACGGAATCAACCACAGAACAAAAATAAAAAACAAAAGGATGCGAATCGTAAAAAAAGTAATAAATAGACGAATTTTAAGTCCGTTAAAGCGTGTTTATATTTGATGAGTGGTGTGCGTGAAAACCTAAGAAACAAAAACGATTTCAAATAAATTCCGCGATGAAAATTGAGTTTGTTCATACAGAATAGCACCACAGTGCATGATCATCAAAAGATTTCATACACAATGTATTCTGTTCTTTATAAAAGTTCATGATCCTCAAAAACTTTTTATTCTCAATATATTCTGTTTGTTCATTTTGACTTATGTTCCTTTTGACAATGATTCCGGTGATCCTTTTACCTTTATGACTTCATAACCATTGTAATATTACGATTTGAATATTTTCTTTGAGCAACCGTAAAGTATTTCACGTTTTGAATCATATGAAATCATTATTACATAAAAAAACTGGCCAAGTGTGAGTCGGACTCGTGCAACGAGGGTTCCGTACAAACCTGTAGGTATATTTACTGTTTTCTCAATTTTTCCTTTACCTGTGCTATAATTTGTTTACGTTGCTTCGTACCAAATTTCAAGATTCTGATTTTACGGGAAGTACCCTGTTGGTTTTAATTCCCTTGCGAGTTTCAAATATGTGCGGAAATTTGCGGCATAAACGGCTGTATCTTTTGATTGCGTTGGCTTAGAAGTTTGATTTTTTCACAGCTCCAAGGGTCAGTAGAGCTGAGTATTTAGTATAAATTTCAGCTTGATACCTTCTCGCATTCCCAAAAAAAGGGTCTTGACAGACTGACGGACGGACAACAAAGTAATCCTATAAGGGTTCCGTTTTTCCTTTGGAGGTTCGGGTACGAGTTCAATACATTTTTTTAGAATTCATAACAATTTTGCTTATTTAGAAGAAATTAGAATCCAAATTACCTATTTTATTTATATGAACTGGTGATTCTTTATTTTCATAGTTTTAAATATGCATTAAAAAATTAAACTACCTGGCCAAAAAAAGCCTATTTATCTAAGAATAAAACACTAAAGACCATGTTCACCAATATACAATACCTGTACGCTGTTCTGTTCACCTACTAGGTGATAAATTCCCTGATGAGCATAGTAGGAACTTATATCACAATACATACAAGAGCAGTACTTTGACTTCATACTAGCGCCCGAATCGACGCACGCACACAGACAAACGTCATTTACACGGCCGCTAACCAATCTTGGCAAGACAAATCTACGCAGTGCCGAGATTGGTCGTTGGCCGAGTTAAGTTAGCTGCGCCGCGCCGCCCGCGCTGTCTGCCTTCGTTTCGATTCCGTAACGTAATAGTAACTATACACATACAATAAAAATCGACACTAATCTATTTTACATTTTGTAGGTACCAACCCTAGCACTCCTCTCAGTCGTAGGTATCTATTTCAAGAAAATGGCTGAGTTACGCTACTGCTCTTGTATGTATTGTGCTTATATTCTCTGTAAACTTTAACTTTATAGTTCAATGCTTAAATATACATAGTAACAAAGAACTTGAAAAAACAATGGATAAACAAACTTAGGCAGTCGACATTTTTGTATTTAATATAATATATGCCACGTTGTGCAAAAACTGTACTTTCTCAATTTCTAATTACTTTGTATTTTTGTATTATACTTATGTATGATTATACAATTCTTTGTATTTGTGCAATATTTTTATTTTACTTTCAGAATTTCACTTTTAATTTATACACGGTGCAATATTATTTAACCATAAAAATGTGAATACATTTTTTTTAAATGTTAAACAAACAGCAAACAATTTTATTAAACTTATAAGTTTATAAGCTATAGCTTGCAAGTATATTTTTCCTATAATGCATTTATTGAAAAGTTATAATAAAAGCATTATTATTTTTTCCTATTATACAATTTCTATGCTCAGAAATATTACATAAACAATCTTGACAGTATTTTATAAAATAAGATTATATCTAAGAGTATGAATATATTTTAGTAATTAAGTAAAAAGTAAGTTTTTAGTAAGAAAGGTTCCGTCCAAATATTTTTCTATTGAATTCCAAAGGAATTAGATAATTATTATTCTTACCTAACTATTAAATGTAAATAATTTGCTTTTGTCGTTTCTTCAATAACTATCGATAAGTATCGACTTACGTTAGATAGACTTTTTTGTAAATATTTATACTATTTAAGTGAGTTTCCTGTGAAAAGTAATTTAAAGAAAGAATAAACGAATGAATGAAATAATTTTCGTGTCATTTTTATATACTTATTAAAATATTCAATCCAACACCAATATATCCAATTATCCCTACCAGTGCGGATCAGTAGGGATTTATGGAATAGAAAGTTCCATATGTTCAAACTGGTAGCGATAAATGGAAAAAAAACTCCAAGAATCCCTACTAGTGGAGGGATATATGAACCAGGGGGATTTTGAGGACTTCGATGGCCCACGCGCTAGCGTTCGGCCTGCGCAGCTGCGATCGTGGAAGTCAAGTCACTTTCGCAATGGTGTCGGTCATTGGATGGGTGACAATGACAACTTAGGACAATGATTATAGCCTCTAATAGGAGGAAAGGAGATAATTACTAAGCATTTTATCACTTATATGCAACATAACTTTTCTTTTATAGTTTCAACACACCAATTAGTCAGCCCCAAAGTAAGCACTGTATTATTGTGTTATAGGATACAAGGTTAAGGATATAAAACATATACTGATACATATATAAGTATATTTATATAATACATATTAAACATCCATGTCTGGAGTACAAGGGCTCATATTAATCACACAAACATCTGCCCCCATCCAGACTCGAACACGGGACCTCTCAGACACCTTGAAACCCGGCGTACAAACTACTCCGCCACGGAGGTCGTCTAATTAACAAATAAAAATAAAATAATATGATAGCTTGAACATCGAAGTAGTTGAGTATACCTACCTAAATAAATCGATGTTACCGCTAAGCAGATTCTCACATTGCCTCGCACTACGCTGCGGGGTGCAGATCTGCATCTGCCTCATCATCAGCCTATTAAAGTGCCCGCTGCTCGGGCAGACCTTCCCTATGGATGGAATAGAGATATAATAATATCATAGATAAAAATATAAAAAATGTTAAACCCGACGGCAGCGGCGCTAATCGGGTAAAGATGTAAATTAAGTTTTCTGAAACTTTCTAATTTTTGTGCAACTTTTTCTACAACCCATTAAAACACTTAAAAATATTTCCTTATTATGGATGGAATAGGGAGATTGGGCTATGACCCACCACGCGGGCCCAGTGCGAATTGGTGGGTGCTAACGACTGCAAATGCAGACGAGACCAACGGCTTAATGTGCCTTCCGGAGCACGGAGGAGCTTGAGATAGCAAATTTTTGGACACCCATCTAATGACCGACCACTGCAAAAGTTGCTTAACATCAACCATTCCCGCCAAATGCGCTAGCCACCTGCGCTATCGAGCTCCTCAGCAGTGCAATGCATCCGCTTGCAAATCTGCATCATCATGTAGGTTTCGCTGCACATTAACGTATGAGGCTGCCGTTTTTTTAAAATTAATGTTACAATGAGCAGAAAGTTATTATGCAGTATTGAAGCAAATTTATGAACCATCTTTTTCGTGTGTGTTATTGAAGTGAAAACTTCTTTAGCGGCATTGTACACTTTTTTTTGTATGGGTAAAAATGTTAAACTCGCGTCATGACACGTGGGCTGATCGCATCACAGGCCACGTGTCCTGATCGTAAGACGAAAAAAATAAAATTGGAAAGGTTGTTGACTTTCAATATGTTGGACGAAACATAGTTATATTATATTTTATCGTATTACAATAATAAGTCTGTATCTAGGACATCCAGGTGGCAGCTTTATTGCGAAGAAAATGCATTTTTTTACAATAAATGTCGCTAGGTGCGCTTAAATGAGAAATTGTGAAAGATAAACTTTTTAATTTAATATAAATTGTCATGTTTGTGTACGATAGCGCAATATATAAATATTGTATTTTACCACATAAATTATAGTACTTTTATACTGATAATTAAAGAAATTCGTGCGAAAATTATTCCCTAACCTTTCCAAAATATTAAAAATGCACAACGTTAATATTCAAATTTTCACTTCTGCCGGCACTCCCGGAATGCAACCCGTCGTTTTTTTAATATATTATTATTGCTAAACCTAACTTAATTTTATTTTATCTGGCGATAGATGTGTCTAGAAATGTATTTTGCGTTTCTGATAGTATTCATTAGTAAGTAACTATAAATTTAATTCTTCTATATTCGCAGCACTAAATTAACACGATCACAGAATGCGCTCGCGTCGCTAACCCGAACTGTTTAAATAGTTAATAGGTATGTGTTTATTTTGCATATTGTGTCGAAGCTAGAATGAATGAATGGCCTACCCGAGAACATTCTGAGAAAACTCACCATCAGGTATCACAAATCAATGTGGCGATGGCATTAACAGTGAACTTAATGTTTCCATCAGTCAGTGGTCACATTCCAGAAATAATTAACTAAATGATTTTATAGTAAATTGTATTCATTACAATTCAAACCTGCTATTTTATTATTATTAGAACATTTATCTGACACCATTGTGATTATGCCGAAGCATTTAAAAATTTGGTTTTATATCAAAACATAAAATAGTACAGCATTTTATTATATAACGTCGCTTTTTTGTGACTTAAATCTAGAAGTATATTTGTACGTATGTATATTTATTTTACTTTATAACCAGTACAAAATGACTATCGTAATTCATGTTACATATTAAAATCTACTTACTATCACGTATACCACTAATATTAGATGGTTTTGTAGTTAATGTATAACGTATTCTGAGGAGTACGAAAAGTTTCTTGTATTGTATAATCAATAGAATTACGCCAAAATTCGAAACAAGGTATTCATAGTTTCATTGAAAAACCCCTATACCGTTTAGTTAACCAACAATAATTATAATAAAGAGAAAATCAAGCTTTGTTTTATGCTTAAATTAAAATAACTTCGTCGCAGTTTCTTTGATTGGCAAGGTCCACTGGCCCTAGAAAACAACATTATAATCGTTGTCCATAATAATAGAAGCCAAAAAAGTTTACAACTTAACCTGTCAGTCAGGCAAATGTACAAATATCATACATGTGGTGCAAGTTAACAAACAGAAGCGGTCTTACCACATGAGTAAAAAGTATATGTACACATTAACTACTTGAACATTTCTTGAACTTACTTAGAACATAAAGTTTGCACGGTTTCAAATCTTGTTTAAGCAAATTTTGTATGTAACTTTTTCTTCAACTCGACTCTTTGACTTTTATTGTATTATGAAAGACGTTTTGATATAAAACTAGACCAATACTGAATTTCTTAAGCGTGCCTTATGTACCATACTTTTTACAAAGTTATTGAGTTTAGCACTTAAAACTGATAAACGTTAATTGAAGTGAAACTTCTTTATCGGCGTTGGAAAAAAATTTACCGTCACATTTTTCGGTTACGCGTCACATTTTTCCGTTACGCGCCATCTTTTTTTATATTAATAGTTGATAGCTGAATGATCACACTGTCGCCGGCGAGAACTCTCTCTACTCGTTTGTAGCTGAGTGACAATAGTTATTAAAGATAAGACTCGCTCAGCCAAACTCGCATAGCGATACTCGCTCAGCGATACTCGCTCAGCGATACTCGCTCAGCGATACTCGCTCAGCGGAACTCGCTCAGCGGAACTCGCTCAGCGGTACTCGCTCAGCGATACTCGCTCAGCTATACTCGCTCGGTTAAGCTGGCTTGGCTGTCAGAAGTTTTTTTTTTTTTTTTTGTTCCCTCCCAGGCGGGGGAGAGGGTGAGAAATCCTCATGGATACCCTACAGCCGGCTGTAGGGTTATGTCAGACTCCTACTGACTAAAAAACACCCTTTATTCATGCTTATGGCCAGAAGGGCCTTACAAGCTTCATCTGAAGCGGTCACCCCCCGAGAGGGGGATGATGCGGCGCTGCGTTAGTTTAAACTAGTGCATAGTTTAAAATAACGCAAAATGCGCTTAGAGGACAAGTGCACTCAGATGTGCACTTGAAACGGGAGGGGACTGGGAGGAATCGAACCTCTCTGTGTCGGGGGGGCGGGGGGACTCATCGCGGGTGTTGGATCCTCAGCGGCCAAGAGGGCCGCGAGATCGCGCGTGAGTTTATTGTGTATGACTGTGAGTGCGTGTTTGGGCCTGCGGGGCCTGAATCGAGATGGAGTGTGTGGAGCGTATCCCGACGCCGATCTAATGAGTGTGTTAGAGTGCTCTTCTGCAGCTTTGAAGAACCGTTCCGAGCACTCTGTGAGGTGTGTTTGAATTGTGTCGAGTTGAAGGTCCCTGTGGAGGTCCGCGTTGCGGACGTACCACGGGGCCCCTGTGGCTATGCGACAGAAGCGATTTTGAAGCACTTGAAGTTTGTTCAAAATCGCTTCGTCCGCGTGTGCGAACACTGGTGACGCGTAAGTGAGGACCGGGCGTATGCAAACTTTGTAAAGCGTTCGCTTGTTACGAAGTGACATTTTGCTGTATTTACCGAGCATCGGGTGGAGGCGGCTCATATAAAAGCGCGCGTTCGCGACTACGCGTGTGATGTGTGCACGGAAGGTGAGTTTTTTGTCTAGTGTGATCCCTAGGTATTTGACTGTGCGGTGCCACGGTATTGCTATGCCTTGCATTCGCAGAGATCGCGCACCGTGTTGTATGGTTTTGGTGCGGCGCTTGGGATCGAAGCAAATGGCCGAACTTTTGTCCGGATTTACGTCGATTCTCCAATCGCGGAACCAATTCCCAAGTGTTGTGATTGCCGGTTGGAGCTTGGCTATGATTTGATTGGTACTGGCTCCCCTAGAGTAGAGGGCCGTGTCGTCCGCGAAGAGAGCGAGCTCGACACCCTTGGTCTGAGGGATGTCATTGGTGTACGCTGTGTATAGCAGGGGGGAGAGAGCGGACCCCTGCGGTACACCGGCTCGTAGTGGGCGGGGCGTTGATAGTGAACCTTCGTATCTATAGCGGAAGGTGCGGTTTGATAGAAAAGAGGCTACTAACCTAACTAGGCGGTCAGGTAACTCTAATTGATATAATTTAAAGATTAATCCGTCGTGCCAAACCTTGTCGAAGGCTTTGGCGACGTCGAAGAAGACTGCAATAGTTTTATATTTATTAAGTTGGAAGCCGCTTAGGGCGTGC